TTCATAAATATACTAATTAATTTTTAACATTTAATAAATGATGTCTTTCATGAGTTTCTTGATGACTTTGTTGTTTGTTATCTAGATGTTATTTTAATCTATTCTAAAAATATAAAAAACATGAATTTCATGTTTGACATGTCTTACAAAAATTAAAAAATATATACTTATATGCCAAGATAGAATAGTGTATATTTCATATTACTCAAATTGACTTCATAGGATATATCATGTTAAACAATAGCCTTATGATGGATCCTAAAGAAGTCTAGACTATCATAAATTGAAAGATCTCAAAAATAGTCAAAGATGAGTAATTTTAAAAAAATTTACTATTTATTATTAAACTTTTATCAATTTTTTTTTTTCAAATTACAGCTTCTTATATATATTTAACTTGTAAAGATAAACTTGAGTAGAGTAAAGAAGCCATAATATCTTTTGAAGCTTTAAAGACAATATTTATTTTTGTACAAATCTTATATTATGTGAACTTTTTTAAAGCATTTTTTATAGAAAGAAATGCATCAAACTTTGCTACAAGTGCAATGTTGTCACAAATAGGAGTGAATGATAAGTTCCATCTAATAGTTTCTTATTCTAATAAATTTTCAATAATCAAGATTAACTACAAGATTGACAAAAAAGAACTTCATGCAATTATAGATTCATTTTAAGAATGGCATCAGTATCTAAAAGAAACTTTCAATATATATATATATATATATATATATATATATATATATCTATATTTATTATAAGAACATCAAGTATTTCATGTCAACACATGTTTTGAATTCTGACTAAGCCCATTGGAGCATATTTTTATGAAGGTTTGATTTCAATATGACTTATTAACTCAAAAAATAATAAGATTTGTCAAAGACATTTTTTAGACATTCTTATGTTACATCAAAGGAAAAAAATGTAATTTTTGATCAATGAAGATTTTTTCTTTTTAAAGTTGGAGCATTTTTATCTTTAAGCAATGAAATCAATATTGATTATTGATTCAATTTTTTTTAAGCAAATTCAATCAAATATATTCTGTGATTCTTTTATTTATGATATTAAAAATAATTCTTTTAATTATTATATTACTTTCAACTTTAAGTTCAAAAATAATCTGTTTTATTTTTAAAAATAATTATATATTCCAAAAGACAAAGCAAAATTATGTATTATTCAAGCTCATCATCAGTTTCTAATATCCAAATATTTTGAATACAATAAGACTTTGAAGCTAATATCAAAAGATTTTTTATGGCATCAATGTAAAATGTTGTAAAACACTTTGTACAATTATGTGACGTTTATTTAAGATCAAAAACTCTTTGGCATTGATCTTATGGAATTCTTTAGCTATTATCTATTCCAAAACAACTATAGTCTTTTATTTTTATGGATTTTATTATAGATTTTTTAGTCTCATGTTCTTGTGATAGTAGATTATTTTGCTAAGATAGCATAGTTTGTACTATATATAAAATCTATCATAGATGAAGAAATAACTAATTTTTTTTTTTGATAATATCTATCACCATTATGGATTGTCAAATGATATTATATCAAAAATGAAGATTCAATCTATATCAAGATTTTTAAAAGTTCTTCTTAAGATTTTAAAGATAGAAATAAAATTACATTTGGCTTTTCATCCTCTAATCAATGGACAAATAGAAGGAATAATCAAAGTTTTGGAATAATTTTTTTACCATTGGTAGATTTTTTTTATAATAACATAGTACATTCTCCTATAAAACAAACACCTTTTTTATATTAATTATGATTATTATTGTGCTTTCAATTTTGCAATCATCCCTTTGATTTCATAAAAGTCTATAATTATGTAAAAAAAATTAAAAAGAATAATTATTTGAGCTATATATAACAATAAAGGTACAATTAAAAAAAAGCTCAAGAATAATAAAAGTCTAAAGCATATGCCTATTACAAGGAACAACTTCAATTCCACATTGGCAACAAGGTATGGTCACTTTATTATAATATGAAGAGTAGCCGCTTTTGTGATAAGATGGATTATTATAGGCTTGGACCATTTCATATTTGTAAATAAATCAATTTAGTTGCTTATTAATTACACTTATTGGAGTCTATAAAGATCCATTCCATATTCTATATTTTTTTTAAACCATATAAGAAAGTGAATATCTCAAAAAAAAAAGATAAATACTATTTTTTTTATATAATTGGATAATAATCAAGATTTTAAAGTAGAAGAAGTCTTCAACTCAAGGTAGCATTGAAATAGATTGAAATATCTTGTTTATTGGCATTGATATGATATTAATGAATGCACATAGAAGCCAACAAAGAATCTTGCAAATACAATAAAGAAGATTGATACTTTTCATTAACAATATCTATCAAAATCAAGATAAAGAATAAAAAATCTTTTTTTTAAAGAAATAAGATCTAAAAAAGATAATATTTTATTTCATATTATTGTTTATAATTTTTGTATATTTATAATACTATAAAGATAAAAAAATCAACAACCAACAAATTCAACTCAAGAGCTATCATTTGATGACTTATTGGATGAAATATTATAATTATTACAGCCTTCGAGACAACATAATAGAGATGGAGATCCTAAAGAATGACATGTTCTTTTTTAAATAGATAATGAAATATGATACATTTGGTATCACAACCTTGGAAGAGATTTCTAATGTTTGGTGATTTTATTACAATTAGGAATGATTTTTAATCGTATTTCAAATGTTTTATTTGAAGAGAGTTATAAAAGTCTCAAGAATGATCAAATAATAAAATGGTTTTTCTACCTTAATAAAGGAGACTATCAACTGCCTTCAAAATAAACAAAGATCAAAGTATGTGGAAATTATAATTTGCCATATCTTAGACTTCTTTAATATATAGTGACTATTCCTTATAGAACTCAATCTTAGAAAGGGAGATAATAACATAGACATGTATATTTATCTAGATTAGAAGTATTAAGTAAAAAATAAATGTAGATAGATTTGATATTATTTTATAGCAAAGCTTTTTAGGAGCTTTATAGATGTGTACTTGACTTTGTATGTGTTTATAATTGATTATAGGTTAGAAACTTAGCCAACAAATTAGTCATGTATTGCACATGTAGATAGCTTATAATACAAGCTAATAATGTGGCGTACATATAAGAAACTTATAATACAAATTAAGACATGTGTCTTATATATTAGACATGTGTTAGAGGTCCTATAAAACATCACCTTGTAGCTCTTAGTTAGATAGTATATATAGAGACAAGAGTGATACCTTCTTTACTTTTATCAATGCCTTTTTAGTTCTTAATCTTCTTTCAAGACTTTTTTGTCTTCTTGTCTTTGACAATAGCCATTCTAGTTGAATATTATACCATCTTTGAATGATTTTTTAAATTTGTTTGAATAGCATAAGAATTTATTGATCTTTTAGTTCTTTAAAATTCATGTCCTTGATAGGAGGTGATAACATAATGTGCTACAAGTAAGTAAAAGATAGTGCTTTGATTAAAAGGTTGATTTTAATTGTTGTGTTGATAGAATATTGGAATTTTGATGAAGGTGCTAGTATTGGATGGATATATTATGTCTAGTGTAAAACATGAGGTGGCTAAGAATAATGTTGTTGATGATTCAACGTCTTTTTTGTATGTAGAACTCTTTGATAAGTCTTTTCATATAGCTCTTACTTGATTCAAATATAGAGTGGAGCTTTGTTGGATGCTAATGTTGTATCCTTGGCAAGAAATTGATGGAAAATGCTCCATGTCATGTACTACTAATAATTGCTCATTGTAATTGATCAATTTAGTTAGGGAACTTTGTCGTGGCATATAATAAATATCCTACTTATTATGACTTATGTCCAATTATTGAATTTTGTATACTAACTGCTTGTCCAAACCTTGTAATCTTTTAGGAGATTTTCAAATACATTAGCTTGGAATTTTCCTAATATCCATCAAAGAAATTCATGTTAACAAAAAAAAATTCCATTTAGTCATCTGTTTGAGTTTTTGTAAATTCTATTCTATGTATTACTTAGCGTCTTAAACAAAATACTAGTCACTCAAAATTCTTATTAGAGCCAATCATTTGAGCATAATTGTATTTGACCTATTACAAAGGAAAGAGTTGGGACTCTACTAGAGGTGGCTATAAAGACAAGAAACCATGATGACAAGGTGAAGGATATACAGAGCTTCATTCATTTAAAGCATAACATATACATGTAGAAGTAAATATGTACATCCCAATACTTGCCTAGGACAATGTCTTTGACAAATCTTTTATATTAAAATAAGACAAGTGTTAAGCCTATTAAGTACGACTCAACATAAATCTCATTGGACATCATACAATTTGTGTCAAGCTTATTTCTTATTCCTACAATAGGAACCATTGTGCCCAATTGTAGCATATAAAACTACTCTAGTTTGAAGGACTTTGTCAAATTGTCTAGTTAAAATTAATTTGGATAATTATTTGAATTTGAATTTTATTTTTGAAGGTCAAAATAAATATTTTGGATTATAGTACCATTGCACTTAAAATAAAATAATAGAAAAGTAGTCTACAATTTGGATGAAGATATCCACAATCAATGAATGATATTAAAAATGATCAACACAAAGTTTGCAGGTCACTAGATGCCAATTAGCATTTTCTTGTACCCTACTCTTTCTCAAAATAGAACGAAGATGGATTCGGTCGCCTATATCCGGAATCGTTTTAACAGAATCTAACATCGTGTGGAGCATCCAGAATTAAGTCTAAATGGTCGGTAAAATGATCGGTATTATTTGTTTATTAATGTCGGCTGAAAACGCGTCGCAGCAAACCGTGAAAGAAGTAGCGAAGGGTGTGGTCATTTGGATATCCATCCAGATCCGAAGGTTTTGCTATGCGCTACGAATTAGTCACAACTGCGTTGAAGACTACTTCAAAATCGTGTGGTGTCTGTATTTCGCTGCAAAATACAGGAAATCCTGCAAGAAAGCGGCTACAGAATGAGCGCGTTGAGCACTCCTGGATTGAATGGTCGTGTAAAAGCGAATCTGAGACTTGCATCTTATCAAGATAACTGTAGAGAGAGCATAGTCCATTGTCACGCACTTGGAGGGGTCTCCAAATATATAAACCTTTCGTAGGAGGCTTAATATTCAAGATTTGATATCGATGAAAACTACAGGAATTGGGGAAGGAATTGAGAACTGAGGGATTCGAAATCCACTTGTGCTGATGGTCATTCAAACGATTGAGTCGTGGATTGTGATCTTGTTCGATGTCTATTAAAAGAGTTGGAGAAGAGATTGATGACAGTTCGTGAGGCAGATCTTTTGCTTCATGGTCCAGCCGATTCAATTCCACTCCTCAAGTTGCTCGACATTTTGTCGCTCAATCAGGACCAGTTCTTAAAGTCTGGTGTCGATTGCCGCCAGTTTGCTTTTGTCATAACACCTCAGTCCTTTCTTCATCGTGATTGACAGCTTCATTCTTTCCGGAATATGTCTTCTGGATTACTTTGATCATCACTCTCAGCGGTTTTCAGTTCCTCAATTGTTTCATTTTACAAACCACTACGTCTGTGGCTAGCTAGGTACAGAAAATGGCTTCTCTAAACGAAAGCCAATCACTTCCTCGATCATGGAGATGTTGCGTCGCACTTTTGCTATCTTTGTCGTTTTTGATGGTAGGCTCAACTCAAGCCAGCAGGAAATTACAAACAGCTCAACCACAAAGGAGACTCCAGGCGCACAGGGACAATACCGACACGGCTATGCACGCTCCTTCAGCTCAATCTTACCTGGTTTCAGACGGTAGCTGGGTAGATTGTGTCCCCATCGAAGGACAGATTGCAGCCCACCACCCTGCTCTCAAAGACCACATCATCAAGATGAGGCCATCGGTACCTCCCAATGCTCGCTCTTCATTAGGCGCGAGATCGCATCCACAATTGTTTGCTCGGGAGCATGGCGGGTGCCCGGACGGCTATATTCCCGTTCAACGAATGGACCCCAACAGCCCGCGTTTGCGAAAAGAGCATCCCCCTCAAGCCCCTGGACCTGCTCCAGTTGACGTAGCAGTTCATGAATATGCTGTAACAACCATGCCAGTTTCTAGCGGAGCTTACAGTGGATCTGCGGCTGTCCTCAGTGTAAATGGCCCCACCGTTGCAAATACCAGGGAGTTCAGCCTGTCTCAGCTATGGATCATCGACGGCTCCTTCAAAGACACAAGCCTGTGCACAATTGAAGTTGGCTGGCAAACGTATCCCGGCAGACACACTGGTGACGCGGACTTTGCTCCTCACCTTTTCGTGTACTGGACTGCAGACCATTACAATATTTCTGGGTGCTATGACCTGGAATGCCCCGGCTTTGTCCAGGTCGAAAATTCGTGGGTGATCGGAGGCGCCATGCCGAGCTACACAACGCTTGAACAATTAAATAATGGGGAGATTGCCGAGGTTGACATTCAAGTGCTCTACGACTCCACTGATCTTGTCTGGTGGTTATTTCTCAACGGCGTGGCGATTGGGTACTGGCCAGCGGCGCTATACCCCAGCACTTATTTGCACGGGACTGCAAATTTTTTAGAGTGGGGAGGCGAGGTCGCCATCGAAAAGAACAACACTGCTCACTCGAGGACTGTGATGGGCAGTGGTGCAGTTCCCACCGCGGGCTTCCCTTTATCAGCTTACCAGAGAAACATCACGTACGCGGATGTGGTGTCTGGAGTTACAAACATGGATGCAAATGTTAAGTATCTGACGGAAGGTCAAATCCGGACGGATCCCAGCTGCTATGATATAGCAGTTCAATTGAATAACTACGCGAATTGGGGTACATATTTCTTCTTCGGAGGGCCTGGAGGAAACAACGTTTTTTGTAAGGGCACGCCATAGTTCTGCTGAAAGCATGAATTGGATAAAAAACACCAGCGGTTGATTGCGGTGGATTCAACAATGTGTTTATAGATAGTGGCAATCTGTATTACGTTAGAACCTAAGTATAGGAAGGATTGGAACAATCTGTGGTTGAATGCGCATGGCAAACCACAGATTCATACTCATTAGAGCAAAATCAACACCTCAATGTATTCCTGCGAAGATGAAGCCAGTAGATGACCCCCCCCCCACACACACACACACACACGAGTAGCTGTGCTACAAAATGTTTCCTCGCAATTTTATGTTTATTGGAGACCTCTAAGTCGACATGTCAACTTTCTTCATTCTCTAGCCCTCCTGTAATGTTTTGAAGAAAAGCAACTAGACCAGCCGCGGTCCTGCCAGTGTTGGAACCCCGTCTAGCCTCCCTTTGGTCTCGTTCAAGGCGGGCGCGAGGCTCTTATAACCCGCAACGACAGCGAGATTTCCAACGCGCGGAATTCAATAACTGTTTTGCATCTAGAATCCTAGAGTTGCACGACATAACTTCTTGTCTCGAAATATGGTCTTGTCTAAACTGAATCACTTCTCGATCTGTTCTTTTGGTCACGTTTACCTGATTGTTGTTTTGAAATAGGTGAATGAAGTATCCATGAGTGTTCGATTTCTGTGTAAATTCAAATAGATACTTCAACTGCGCCTTCTCAGTGTGTGTTTCTGTATTAAAAAGTAATTCTTTTTCTAAATGGTTGGGCCCTGAGCCATCACGATAATGTCTGTGATGTTGGAATTGCGAGTATTAAGTGGTCTTGCTCCATTGTGGTCCTGCCTAGTTGGTTGAAAGTGATATGATCAATTGCCAACATCAAATTTTCTTTCTCTAAATAAATCGTTCTCTGTTGTATAACTTTGATAATCACATAATCTTGAAATCAACACCCATGTCACACATTTTAGCACAAGAGTTGTGGAAGGAGTGTAAGGTCTGTCAATTGACATAGTAATAAATGCAATGAATACTTTGGAAGAGAACACCAACACACACTACAATCGTTGCAATTCAATCAAAAGCCTCTCACCATTTAATTTAATAGAGAAGTTTTGAGAGGCAAGTACTTAAACTTGTAGATATCTAAGATAGACTCTTTATTTCAATGATACCCAAAAATCTTGTAATAGAATCATATCTATTTTATTTTTTTTATTTTTTTTTATTTTTTTTCTTATAATGAAAGCACTGAAAACAAAAGGAACACAGTAGCAACATCTAGTCTCTTTTTTGAAAATACATTATTTTTTTACCTAAACTTTTCTTTGAGAAGGCAATAAGAATTTTATTAATTTCAAAATGACTTGAATAGTACTTAAGAACTTCTAAAAGAAATTAGTACTCAACTCGTTTTAACAAAACTCAGTCCCTTACAAGTTTTTCCACAAAAGAAGTACAAATGACTCCACTTCACAACTATGATTTTAATACAAGTAGAAAAATTTTATCTCCAAGTAGTCATTTAATCAATTAAAGAAGAGAGAAAACACACATCTTTTAAAAAAATATGAAATCAAAAAGAATAAGTTAGCATCTTAAAAGACAAAATAAGATAATTTTTATTAAATTAAAGTTTGATGAATTTTGTTTTATAAAATATCTATAAACACATCACATAATATGACAAATATATTACTTTTGAACTTATTTTAATTACTAAAAAATATTTTTTGGATATATATTCTTTTTTGTAAATATAAAATTAAACTTTTTATTATATAATACTAATGATTTAATAATCCTTCTAGGATATCTCAATTTCAAAACTATATTAAGTATATATAACCATTATATAATACCATTTCATTAGAAGATTATAAACAAAGTATAATAAATGCAATCAATTTGTTTTTTATAATTTGTAGTAGATAGTGGACGACTACATACTTGAATTTGTACCAAGTTGCAACCATGTAGAAGATAGCTAAAAATAGAAATATATGCATAATATTGAGTCTTGCTATCAAAGATTTGATTTTCTTTGTTGATTCTTTGATTGATAATAGGACCTTTGGATTATTTTAAAGAACACGTCTATTGACAAAATGGAAATTCCAAATATCTACATGCAAAATCAAATACAAGATATAAATATGCTAAAAAATGAATGATACTTTGCATATATTAATTATATTAGATAGGTAATAGAAGGTAATTAGAACATAAAAAAAGATAAAAATAAAATTATTTAAATGCAACAAAGCTAAATTTATAATATAATCAATAAATTGAAAATGAATAGATGGGCAACTTGATTTACTAAATAATTTATTATCTTTTCTTTTAGTCAATTTTACAATAGATAATAAAAACCAAAAAATAAATAATGATAAGAATGGATATATTTTATACCACATTACAAACACTTTATCAATTTCATATTATAAAATATTGCATAGTAAAAGACTAGTAGAAAAGAACCAAATAAAAAAAGAGACGACCAAATTAGAGAGAAAGAGAGATTTTTAAGCTAGCAATGGAAAGAAGTGGCTTCCAACCATCCATCCAAGAGCACCGTTATAATTTTAGTTTATAATTGATCTATTCTACATGGTTAAAATAGGGCATCTTAAAAACCAAAAATTACAATAAGTATAATTTTTAACTTATTTTAATTATCAAATATAATTTTAAAATTTTAAAAAAATCCTTCTTCTTTACATCTAATATTTTAAAAAATAAAGCCTTAATTCTAGCTATCAATCCAAAAAATCATTGCTAATTCTTTATTTTTCTTAAACTGATGTTTCTTGACTTATTAGAATGATTATATATATGGCTTTAGTACTACAAATATTTGAAGTAATCTAATGAGTAAACAATAAAAGCTATTCTTCCAAAGTCAAGTAATCCAAACTACTTAGGCAATAGATTGTTCTTCAATTGAATTCTTGACAAAAAAATTATTTTGATTCCAAATTTAATAATTCATCATCAATTATAAAGTTGTTTTTAAGAAGATTCTACTTGAGAATATTTACCTTAAAAACCAAAATGTCAAAATATTAATAAAAGAGATATGTGGCCTTCCAACAATGAATTTTAATCCATACTCTTGCTCAATTGAGTGTTAACATTAGACCTATAGCATGGCCATTGACATCAAAAGTTTCATCTTTCATAATCTATTTGCATCAATTAATTCTAGAAGCATGTAATATATTGTGAAATCAAATAGACCACCATAAAATCTATTAAATATTCTTTATTGTAAATCCTTGTTTTCATATTATTGTGATATTTTAGCCTTATTTAATAAAGAAATCTTGAAAATCTCCTAAGCCAATATAACTCCCTTATATATGTCATTAAATTCTTTAAGCTTACATTTAGATATAAAAAATCTTTTTTTAGTACCTAAATGATTATATTCAAGACTAAAAAATAATAAAAATATGATAATATTAAAAAAAAAAAGTTAGCATATTTAACTAATAAACCTATTTAAGTACTTACAATTATTTTTAGTATATATTTTATGATAGAATGCATGGCATTGATAAATAAATAAATAAAGCATCTATTTTAAATACTAAAAAACTTATGAAGTTGAAGAAATTAAAAATAGAATAATTTATTTTTGCTCTTATAATTGTCAAGCTTTGTAACTTATGCTACATTTATAACATGATTGTACTCATGTCCAACCCACATAATCTTTTATGTACTTGGTCTTTTATGTACTTGGTGCTTATAATTGAAGAGAACAATGTAAATGATTAAGATTAGAGTAGAGAGTATATGGCAATATAGAAGTTTGATACAATACAAGTTTAAAGAAATATAATAAAGATGACATGGATTAATATATTGACAAAAATATAAAAAATGGCAACCAAAGAGTTAAAGTGGAAAAACTCTACTATAGTCAAATTCAAACAAGTTTTTTAATAAAAAAACTAAAAATTAGAAGAGAAGTTAAAAAATAAAAACCTTAAGATATAGAGACAATTAAGAAATAAAAGAATTCTCAAATAAAAATGTGATATTTAAAAATAAAATAAATATAAAAATAAATTTCTAAAAAATCTTTGTATTAAAAAATTATGAGTAAAAATTATATAATTATAATTTCAAAAATTAAATCAAGTTTTATTTAAATATATATTATACTTTCTATAATTTTATGAATCAAACTAATGTAGGTAAATATAGTTATTTTAAAAATAATATTAACTTAAAAAACTTGAATATAAGTAAATTTTCTTATATTCATAATAAAATTAAAATAAAAAATTCATGATATGCTTAGAGAAAAAAATACAAACTATCATAATGTCATAATATCTTGTATAAAACTAAATTTAGTTAAAATAGTATATTAAATATTTAAAAAATCAAAATCTCCTATTCATATTATAATATATATTTGTGTAATTTATTTAGCTTACTTTGTGAATTATGTTTTTTGTAAATTGTGGATCATGTATAAAATTATTTTTGGATTTTTGTCATTGCCACTTAAATAGTATACTATGAATAGTATGTAAATAAAAAAAGAAGAAGATTTTATTTAATAATTCAAGGATCACATAAGAAAAAAAAAAAGGTATTAGACATTGTAAATTATAAGTAAAGTATTACTAAATAGAACTTATTTTAAAATATTTGAAAATTCTTATTTTAAATCCAATTTTCATGGCACCAATACTTAATATTTTCTATCAAAAAATTTGCTATTGATAATTCATGCACATAAAATAAACTTTTATTATTATTTAAATAAAACCTAAAATTTAGTGTTTTATATAAATATAAATGATTTTATATTATGTACTATATATATATATATATATATATATATATATATACATACTAGCAAAAATTCATGTTGTTGGATACAGAAATCTGTATTCTCTTGTTTCTATATTCCCATATGTCCCTCATTCTTATGTTTCTTTATTCTCATGTTTGGCTAATGAAAAGGCTTCTTTGTCTCTTTGTGTTACATCCAAGCTATTTTATTATATATATACATTTTAAATAATATTTTTTAAATTTAAATATTTAATTACTTATAAAAAATAAAATATATTTTATATAATAGTATTTATAACTTTTAGCATACAATATGATTCTATATTAGAAAGAATCAAATAAGCAAAAAAATACAAAGTAAAGAAATAAAAGAATTAAAGTTAAGAACAATATATTATTGCTTGATTTAAAAATAGATTGATTGTAATCACTATTGTATTTATCTTGAAGTATTACATACAAAAAACTAAGGTAAAATATTTTTTTTCTCAATAATTTGATTTAAGTTGTTATGTTAATATTACTTTCTTTAATTGATTTATAAATATATATTTTTTAAAATAATAAATAAAAAATAGCATCTAACAAGAGAAATAAAAAAAAATTATAGCACAAAATATAAAAGAATAAAGAAAAGTATAGTAAGAAAATATAAACATCTACGATCAATATTGCATTTATAGAAATGACTCTTGTATGATTTTATTTGTGAAACATGCAATGACATCTACATATTAAGATTGCTCAAGGAAACAAGTGGTCGCTTTCATTCATTATATAGATGGATCTTTGTTTTCATCAAAAAAATTCACCTTTCCTAGAGTTCATAGGTCATTTTATAATTCATCAATCTTTATTTTCATCAAAAAACTTAACATTGTTTAGAG